ACGATATTGCTGTCCTTAAAAGATAATTCCAGGTTATTTCTATGGGCTTGTTCTTACCAGGTGATCGAAAACACTGTTTAGAGGTCAAACTGAAAGTGAGTGCAGGTGTTTTTACTGTTTGCTTTTGTTTTCTCCTGCTAATAAGATGAACTACCTTGATAGTTGGACAGAGCACCAACCAATCAAAATATCTAATGCAGTCAAGCATCAGATGCCTGGTTTGATTCATTCTGTTCAATCTGCTCATTGTAGTTGTAAATCACAGTTTTATCACTTTTAAACTATTAAAACATTAAATGTTTGCCTAAATGTCTGTGTGGACACATCTTCTTCCTGTCAGCTTTGTCCTCAATGTTCTTCCGCCAGTCACCCACCGCTTCGACAGCCTGAGGACAAACAGAGTCAACACGGCAATGCAGGGCGAGTTCATCGTTATGTTGAAATTCAGCCTTAGCTCCTTCTCACCTCCTCTTTGACCTCCTTCTTGACCTGCTTCAGGTTGGCCCTCAGGTCCATGTTGACTGTGTGTTTGGAGCCCAGCAGAGCTTTGAGCATGGCGTCGGCAGACATACGTACTTTCTTCAGCCGGGGTCTCTTGAACTTCCCCCTCAGATCCACAATCTTTATGTTGAGGTCTTTGACCTTTTAAGGCAAAGGAACAGCTATAGACCTTTATAAAAACCAATCTGCCCACATGCTGTGGCCAGTGAACATATTGCATATTTATTCCTAATGTAAAGAACTGTTAAAAAAAAGCCTGCAAACAGCACCTCATATCTTTTTATCATGTAACTGCCTAATATGTTCTGAATACATTTTATACAGTATAACAACATTTGCAAAAGCCAGTGGTGGTGAACACCTCTGAGAGCCGCTGTATATGAATTTCACAAAAGGTGAAACACTGAGCAGAGCTGACATAAAGTCTGACCTCGTTCAGGGTCATGTTCAGTTTGAACTCTATGCAGTATCTCTCCTCCTCACTGATGTCGATCTGCTCATGGAGTTTCTTGCAAAGTTCCTGAAGAGAAGAGGGGGTTTCAGAGTTTTTGTTGACCTTTTGTAACAGTTTAAGCAAATGAATGTGACCGAGTCTTGGCTCAATGTTTTCAGCTAAATGCTACAGCGTTTGCTAGATCAGTGGGAAGTATATTTACTGCTGTACTCAGACACTATACACACATACTCTAAAGTACTGTCATGATGTATTTGTGCCTTACCTGAGTAACTGTATTTTATGATACTTCTACTCCACTATGTTTGAGAAGGAAATACTGTATTTTTTCTCCACTGTTCACATTAATATTACAACATATAATCAATTAATATACATTAAAGTGACATGGGCCAGTCTGCATAATGATGACCTTCACTTAATATTTATATCCTTTTATTTATACTTAAGTAAAACCTGAAATGTCTGACCTTTATTTGTAACAGTATTTTTCTACCATGGCATTGATACTTTTACTTAAGCAACAAATCCGAGTACTTCCTCCACCACCGATTATTTGAGAAAAGCTGAAATCTGTAGAACTAGAATTTTCACTGGCAGAGCCCATTTATAATATAACCTGACTGGAGCGGGCAGCCTCACCAGCAGCTCTTCCTTGGAGTGCGGCAGCTCTATAGGAGGACACTTCTCTGACAGGAACCTCTCCCTCTCCTTAGCCTTCGCCTCTGCCTCAGCCTCCAGCATAGTGCCTGCCACCACCAGCATACAGCTCTGTGGGTTACAGACATGCAGCTTTAAGTATTTTCAGGAAAATCTTCAACATGAAGGAGAGAAAAACAGCAGCATGTCGTTCATGCATTTCTTACTTTCAGAGTATGCTTACGCCTCGCGGAAAGTCTCTTCCTGTTGACAGAAACATGAAACATTCATCAGACTAGAGGGGAATTCAAGTAGATATCGGCCATAGTGTTATAAATAAATTCACTACCATTATTAACTGGGTTTCAACAGAAGCATATGGGATGATAAAGTGACTGAACTGATGACTCAGTTTTACAAAATTAAGGAGGAAAACTAGATATTTTTAAAATCTATTTATTTTTTGCAGTTCATATTAATTTGATTTCAGCCATAAAAGTCCATTTGATCAATGTAAAATGTAACATCGCCACATTGGCATTTTATTTTAATAATGGACAATGTTTACAAATTCCTATAACATGAAATTTCCAACACATAACATGGATCTGCTTCAAAACAGTGTTGGATAATCACAGGATGTGCAAGATTGCTCTTATATAGGTAAGAGCTGTGGTTTTAGAGAAAGCTGTGAAAATGACAAAAAAAGATCAGATTTTACAATGTCAATAAACGTGAATATATGAAACTAAAAGCTCGCTGATCTGCACCAAACAGGATGCACCTTCCTTTGCCCACTACATTCTAAAAGCTGTTAACACATTTGCAAGGCAGACACCACCCACTGATAAACCCCAACATAAAACTGTTTACTCACTCAGAGGCCATGCTAGCTGTAGGATCCTGGTGCTACCTGGTAGAAAAACAAAACAGCATGAGAACTGTGTTGTTACCTTTTGATATGTGATAAAATGTTGGAATACAAATGTAAACTTCACAAACTCAAAGTTACAGACAAGGCATTTACATGGTCCCTTCTGTTTTTATTGACCTCATGTATTTCAGAAACAAGGAAGTGCTCTGGCTCAGCTACTTTAACTTGGCTTCACCATAAGTGGGAATGTGGTTCATTCTGAATTTGGTGTCATCAGCATGACACTGTGCACCCAACCTGCCCTGTGTCAACAGTCCAGGCTGCTGCTGGTGCCATAATGGTATGAGGAATGTTTTCTTTGTCAGTGATGGCCACAGGCTGAATGCTGACCATATGCATCCCTGTGTCACCCTCACACAGCTGGAAGCGGCCATCTCGAACTGAACTGAGTCCAGTGTTCTTCAGTATCCTCCCCCAGGCAGAACACCGCTGGTAGCATGAGAGTCACAGTATGAATGTACAGCTGACAAATCTGCACACATCAGCAGATAGTGCAGAATCTCACATGTCCATCTTCTGCCTTGTTGAATGCCACAAAGAACTGGGGGTGTTTTGAGAGCAAAGGGAGGACCTACCCAGCGTTAGTACAGTGTTCCTAATAAAACAACTGCTCAGTGTAACCACAGATGGATTACTGGACCAGTGTACCAGACACAGGCCCAGGGGCCCCAGTGGCCCCCGTTTCATAATCTGTCCATGAGTCCAGCTTTTCACCAGGAGTGTGCTACAACACATGGTAAGGTCGGTGAGCTAGCTGTAAGATAGTTACAGAACATAAGAGGCGGCGTTGCCAGGTCATGTGACCTCATCAAAAGTCTGGTCCCAGCTTTGGTAAAAGTACTGGAGGCTTGTGAGCCAGTCAGGACTGGGACTGTTGAGCTGCATTTACAGTAGCCAAACTGGAAATAGAACAAACATGAAGTAGACTGAAAGATGTCAAGAACACAGGTCCATTTTTCTCCTTTTGTACATTTATGAGGTGTAGTCTCCATTCACATCAAACAAATGTCCTAGTTTCTATCGCTGTAAAATGATTATTCAAGACCTTTCTCTCACTATGAACTTTCCACTTTCACTCTGGGTAAATACAATTTAGGCCTTTGACAGCACAAAAATAACATAATGGAACTTCCTTTCTAATAACACGTGACAGCACAAAAATAACATAATGGAACAGAAACCAAACTTCCTTTCTAATAACACATCCGCCTCCTCTGGTGACACCCTTGTGACAAGCTTTATACTTTTTGTTACACTAGTGGTACAGCTTTTAAAAACTGTAAAGTTATGGTAACAAGGTTATTTAACAAGACGGAACAGAACACGTAGGCCACTTGCATGTGACCTCAGTCTGAACAGACATCTGATTTATGCAGCTTTTCAGCTGACAGTGGTAGACAATATGTTTCTGATGTTGTCCGTCCAGTAGAAATGTTCCTCCACTCCTTACTTAAGTGACATCTCTTCAGAAATTGCTCCCACTGCTCCATAAACAGTTACAACCAAAAAGTTAAATGAAATCATTGAATATCAAACAGCTTCATGTTTGAGGTCACATCTCCTCCTCCTACTTCTCTCCTGCAGAAACTCTTGCATTTCGTTTTTGGGTCATGTTAATTCTATCTTAAGACTAATTCCAGGAAATGTCATGGATCTGAACTTTGTAACCCAGGTCGCACTAACAACTTAAAGGAGCATATCGCTATTTTTAGCTGCACTAGCAATGTGGCTCAGGAGATGTGAGTCCATACCCCTAAATGTGTTGAGTTTTAGTGCTACTTTGTGTGTAATGCTAACATAACATACTAGCATTTCAGATTGCGAGCATGTTATCTAACTTTATGAACTTTCATATGTTGCCGCTCTAAAAATAGGAAAACGTACAAGCGAGTTAAAATGAACATATCTGACGTAAGGTTTTGTATTTTCTCACACCATTGTTCTCTATCGACTTTGTCTTGTTGCATCTTTTCGCATCATGTATTGATAATTTTTGTTTCACATTAACGCTGCCCATTCTCTAAAACATGATTTAGACTAATGAACATCATACAAGACCTCATACCTGTTGCTGTCCCCATGAAGCAACAACAACAACAACAGTAATAATAATAAAGCAGACAGCCAAATCTGTTTTATACCACTGTAGAAATCATGGACACAGTGGCTGCCTGGAAAGTGTCACGTAAAACATGCACAATATATATTGATATGATTGGAGGTTGAGTTAGTCTGTAGAACTGTCCTTCAGGGTTACTTCTTATTCTTATACTTTGAGTACATTTCAATACTTCTACATTTACACAGGTATTTGTACTTCTACTTAAATAATGAATGTGTGTACTTTTGCCACCTCTGCTGAGCTGCCTGTAATGTTTAGGAGCTGTAAGGGAGACGTGGATTTAGGCTCTATTTCTGGAGCCCCAGCTGTCCCTAACGTCTTCATTGTGGAGAAAAAAAAAAAGACAGCAGGCTCATCTTAAAAGACATCTGACAAGCACTGCAGGCATCCTAAACCATGAAGCTGGACCACGAACAACTGGCCTAACCAGGGGGGCGCCAGGCCTGACAATGTATTTTAGGGTACTTGAAACTGTTCAGATAACAAAATGATGTTGCTCTGGAGATGGAATAATATCTGCAGATTTAAATTTGGGCCCAGATTTTTGTCTTAAGTGTGTGTGGGCGTTATGGGTAAGATTATCCCAGCAGGGAGGGTGGAAGGATTTACAGTAACCAAACACCGTACAACATCCCTTGGATGGCCAAGATGTTAGAGCATACCACAAAAATAACTCAGTGCTGCACCGACCTCAGATGCACAAACACTTTATGTACTTCACTGTGAAAGAAAAAGACAAGAAGGTACAGTAGCATTTAAATCCAGTGCAAAAAAGGCCAGTCTGAAAGCGAGAAACGATACCTCAAAGAAACCTTGTTGTTCTGGAGTTTTAAAGTAGGGAAACCAAAATACTGCCAAAGTCCAAAACAAAAATGTGTCATGGACAACCTTCTACTGTAGCGGTCTTGCTTTCCAAAAAAAAAAACCCAAAATAAAGCTTTGTCAGTTCTTAAACAGGTGAAGAGGACTGGCTAAATTTGGTGTGTGGGCATGAAGCTGAAGTGGCAGCTGCAGCAGATTAGTCCGGGTTCTTCTTCGGACCCCACTTGTGCTGACGAAAGGATAAACACTGACGGATCGACTTTCACGTTGATGTCTTGTATAGGTGTAGCCTGCCAGTGCGCCATGTCGCCACACTGTACAACACCGCAGCAGGCCGAACATGTGTCTGAGCATTTCTGAACT